GCCAAAAGATAGTCCTTGCCCCAAGGAGCTTACAATCTAAGTACAAGACAAGAAACAACAGATGGATACAAACAAAACTAATGGGGGAGCATAAGGAAACAATGAAACATCATTGATCAGAATGATAGGCAGCCTAACTTTTGTCAAGTTCTTTGAAGATATGACAAAAAAAGTTCTGAAGCAGGCAAATTTGAAGCAGGATAATGAGTTAATTTTGTGATTTCTTATGGGGAGTTGAGTACAGAGGGAAAAAAGCACAACGTATTTTGTTTAGATATTTACAAGCAAGTGATGGTGTTTGGTATCATGAGCTGATTGGAGGAGGGAGTCAACATTTTGATGCTGAATGAGAGATGGCACGAGGCTAGACTTTGAAGGGCTTTGAAAGTGAACACAAGCAGTTTGTTTGGCACAACAGAGAAGGGGAATCCAGTACATGATGGAAAGGCAGGGTAAAAGGTTCAAAGCAACATCTTACGAAAATTATCTTTGCACAGCACTCTGAATGGATGAGTGGCAAAAGATTATACTTATTAAAGCCAGAGAGGAGGTTGTTGGAGTAATCAAGACACAACATGATAACAACCTGGCTGAAAGTTTTAGCTGTGTGGATGGGCAAGAAAGGACATTACTTAGGGCTTGTCTACACATAAAAGGTTGCAGATGTGCTACTGTAGCACATCAGGGAAGACTACCTATGGCAACTGTAGGGCTCTCCTTTCAGCTTAGGTACTCCACCTCCCTGAGAGGCAGTAGCTATGTTTATGAGGCTATGTCTACACTACGAGATTTCTCAGCAAAAAATATGCAAATGAGAGACTCTGTTTTGCAGTAGGGTTTTTGCGCAAAAACAAGCAATATGGACATTTTCTTTTTGCCAAAACCCCCTTTTTCTGCAAGATCAGTATACCTCCTTTTTTGGGGCATAAAGATCTTGCAGAAAAAGGGGTTTTCACACAAAATGTCCACACTGCTTATTTTTGCGCAAAAACAGATCGGCAGAAAATATGCAAATGAGATTGCAACTCATGCAAATGATCCCTCATTTGCATATTTTTCCCAACAAAACTCATAGTGTAGATGTAGCCTGAGAGAAGGCCTCCCATCAACATAGCACTGTCTACACTAGGAGCTAGATTGGTATAAGTACAACACCACTTTTGGATATGGAGTATGGATATGCCACACCCCTGAGTGATGTAGTTAGACTGAGATAAATGATGGGGTAGACGGAGCCTAATAGATGATATGGAGAAAGAAATAACACTTAAATTTTGTCTATGCTGTTCTGCAGTATGGATTATGGGAGTATGAACTGCAAAAATCACTGAAACATTGTACTGCTCTACATAGACATAGCTGGAGTGAATTTAAAAGGTAAGTAGTTTGCATTAAAGTAGTCCTCTTTCAAACAAAACACTTTAATGCATTCTACGATTTATAGCCCTGTAGTCTGCACCACTATGCAGTACAGACATAGTCTTAAATGTAGCTTAGATGGACTTCTAAGTCAGAGTTGAGAATGACATCCAGATTAGAGACCTGAGTGACAGGCAAAATAGTGTTGTTGTCAACAGTGATCAAGAAAGAAGTTAGTGAGAAAATTGTTGGGTTTTTTTCATTCATATTGGGCATGTCTACACTATGGAGAGCAACTCTCTGGAGGTTGATTTTCTAGAGTTCGATTTAGCGGGTCTAGTGTAGACCCTCCAAATTGTATGTTGAGGGCAGCTCCCACAGGCGTCCTGTACTCCTCTAAATTATGAAGGGCTGCTTTTCTGTACATTTCCTGCCATTGGGACAATTGAAGTTTCTGACATGCTTACAGTGCTGAGATCTGAAGGACTAGAGCTTGACAGGATGCTTCCCACAACAGGATTCTCAACATTGGAATTTTTCTCTCTTATTTATCTAACAGAATTGAACTAATGTTGATGGCCTTTAGGGCACTATGCAATCTTTCCCCAGGCCTTTGAGGGTGCATCTACAGAGCAGGGCTAAAGTTGAATTAAGCTACGCAATTTCAGCTATATCAATTGCATAGTTTAAGTCAAAATAACTTAATTCAGCTTTTGGCGCAGTCTACACAGCAGGAAGTCAAAGGAAGAACACTCTTCCTTCAACTTCCCTTATTCCATGTAAAATGAGGGTTACCTTGAGTCAGAGTATAAAGTCCTTCAGCTTGACATTATTTTGAAATATAACACTGCTGTGTAGATGAACCCTGAATGAGCAGATGAGAAGGGGTAGCTTATTTTGTTTGATTCTGGACTTTGTCCATTTTATGAAGTTTTTGTTTTAATTAATTCAATTGAATGCTTGTCATCTGAGTATCACCATAGTAGTCAGTATAACCCTGTTATAGTTTTGCAGGAAAAATATCACAGGGAATCTTACTATTAAGAAGGATGAAGTGGTCTCACGGATGCAAGGTGTGGTGTATAAAAAAATATGTGCTATTAACCATGGCGTTAGGTCCTGAGGTTAGTGTTCTGTGATCTGGGTGGGTTGGAACTACCCAACTCTATTCAGTGGGAAGGGATCAAGCTAGCGCCTAATCTCAACCTCTCTCCCATAAACAGGATAGCAAGTCTGGCTAGGAATTGTAGTATAGAGGATGGCTTTGGTAAATCTCAGCCTGCAGCAAATCATGCTAAGATACAGAGTACTGCCGAAACTCCAGTGTTTCTACAGTTAAAGAGAGATCAGTAATGAGCCAGGCTCTTGCCAATTAACTTATTTGTTTGACTGTTTATTTTGTTATCCTTTTTCTCTAATACAGGCTCTTCTGCCTGTCTGGAAGACTGAGTTTTTAATAATATTGTTCTGGGCAGAGTAAAATAAAGACATGAGCAAGGGAAACTCTCCCTCTTCCCAATTTACCAAAGTGCTATTTAATTAAAATCTATTTACAGTAATAGGTCCAAATCCTGTAAGCACTTATGAACAAGCATAACTTTATTACCCTGAGTAATTTGATGGGAATCAACATTAAGTATATACATGTCTGCTGAATTTAGACCTTACATTTCAGCACGATGCATAAATTATCCTTTTTAAGAGCATTTTCCTATAGAAATATTTTATTTAAATCATGAGTGAATGGGCTTTGCAATAGTAAAAATATATATTACGCAAAATAACTCCTCTGAAGTGCTTACAGTCTAAGCATTCTTGCTAATTCCTATATGTTGCAAATAGTTGCTTAGCTTCTCTGGTGATGGACAGTATGGAAAATATTGTTGGAAAAATAAAAGAAGTCTATTTTTGTATGTGAAATATTTCCATTCAGTGGTTAGTTTCATTACTAGTAGTATTAACTACCTATATTACATATGTATTGGATGCAAACCAATGTTTCCATACTCAAGACTTCCCAAATGTCTTAAGTATATACAAGATTCTGTGAGTGTTTTACATTTAAAATCTTTAAAATAAATAAAAGTATATACAATCTAGTGTCTGAGTTTTCTATGCTGAGAGATGCTTTTGGTTAACTTACCCAAATTGGTTTTATTCACACTTTAAAGTTAGTGTTTGCAAATATTTTCCCCAACTATGTTAAAAAGCATAAGGCTAAATATAAAGGAACTATTCAAAATGATTACAGAGGAATAAAATATTCACTAAATTAGAAACTTGGTGATTCATCATCTCAACACCTAACATATAACCTCTTTTTATTTAAAAATATAGCTATAGAACAAGCAATCAGAAAAGATTATACCAGTCCTGAGTCCAAAACTTCAGTGTGATTTTGATCAAAATTCTAGTTTTTTTACTTAATTTTTTTTCTAGAAGTTTTAAACTACTAAACCTACTTTTAAAAAAAATCAATAAAACCCTTCTTCCTTCATGATAACACTTTACAAAAAAAATAATAATATATTACTCTAGCAAAAGTTATGTTGTACATTTTCTGAAATTCCTACTTGATAAATGCATGAAAATTATCAATTACTTTGCTGATCCAGCAAAGCATGTATGTCTAAGCATAAGTTTACATAAGTGTGCAGTCCCATCCACAAGTCATGTTTTAAAGTTACACAGGTTCTTAATGGTCAGTCCTATTGAAATCAATGGGAGTTAGGATCCTGGCTTGCAGACACCCTTTTGAAAATCCCAGTAGGTACCAATATGCATCTGCCAGCATCTGAACTCCTTCAAAAATGTAGTCCTACATGCTTCGCTGTATTGAGGTGTGTGTCAGTACAAGTAGGTGTCCTAATTCCTAATGGGCTTAGCTCAGATTTAAATTTTTTTTTTTAAAAAAGGAGGCAAACTAACTTTTTGTCTTACTGAACCTGAAGAAATATTACTGTCAGTAAATATGTTCCAAGACAGAGAACATATTTTCTTATATGGGATGAAATTTTAAAATCTGATTCCTATTTGGTTCTGGAGGAGTGTGTTTTCTTTTCCCCCCTCCTCTACTTTTCCTGGACAGAGCCACATCAACTCTCTGTGAGCAAATTCACCTTATCTCTGTTCATTAACCAATGCTGCATTTATGTTAACTTCACATTTTATCGCATTAACAATTCTTTAGCAAATTCAGAAAACAATCCTGACTTAGCCCTCCCCGACTTTTTGAAGAGAAAGTTGGGCACAGGAAGAATGACAGGTGGACATATTCCTTGTGCACCTTTTAGCATTGTTCCACAGTGACTCTCCCTGTAAGACTGAGAGGAGCTCTGGGCATGTTGGAGGTGTAACAGGTCTCTGCAAGCAACATGAATCCAGTAACAGCATTCCTCATTATAGCGCAAAGTCAGCAGTAGTAAGAGTAGCTATCCCTTGGCTCTGTTTTTGCTCTAGGTTCAATGACCAGGAGATTTTTCCTTATACAAACTCCATGAAAATCTGTCAGGCAAAACGTGTTGACTCAGGCTTTCCACCTAAATAAAAATTTAGTCCCAAGTTACTAATACATATAGGAAACTGAAACCAGAAAAAACTGTCTGAATTAATGATGTAATTATTTTAGGTTTGTCAGTAAGTAGGCTTTTAGGTTATATTTATTGTTCTATCACTTCATAAATCCATTCCTATTATAACCAACACAATCACCACTTTCTGCTTAATTCTCTGAGGGATACTGTTATGGTTAAAACACATTCCAATTTTTTTATATACTGTAATCTGAAAACCATTTTACATACGTATTCTTGTACACATTCTTGTATGTATTTATTTCCTTCACTCTAAAACGTGGAATTTTCTTCAAAATGTTACACAAAAAGATTAACCAGAGGAAAAGTCATCAGTATAGGACATAAGTCATATTTCTCTCTGTCTGTAGTCATTTATACAGCAAAATTATTTTTAAATGTATTGCTAGTTATCTTTAAGAGTGCTTGAACCATGTGTTTAAACCATGTGCTGTTTCAATTATACCTAGCATTCTAATGCATATTTTATGAGTTTCCTGGAGCTGAACAAAGCTAAGATTCCAATTTTTAAAAACACCTACTTTATTGATTTGGCACCTATTCTCTTCCAATGTGTACAGATCATCCACACGACAGGGAGTCGGGGGGCACTGTGCCTTCATATTAATTTATTTTTAAGTAAAATCCTGCTTCTATTCATTTAAAAGAATGCAAACTATTGTATTGTATCATTATGGTGATATCCAATTACCTACGTGCTATTTTGATCAGGCATGTATGTTACTCTGTTAAGAATAGCAGTATTATTTATTAGGCTCCAACACTGTAGTCTTGCTATACAAGACAAAGTGAGGCATGTCTCTGACCCTGAAGACCCTAGCCTTATAAACTGATCTGTGGGTGGACTTTTGGGCCTGCATGAGCTTCACCAATAGATGAGCGTGCTTTCCACTGCACTAAGTTTTCAAGTGCAGTGGTCATCACTATGTTTTTTATAGCACAAGGGAGGTCTCTAACTCATTTCTGCAAGTAATGCGTTAGGTGCCTAAGAAGGGATGTAAAGGTTTAACCAGTGTAACATGTCTCTCTGTTAGGGCTGCTTCAACTGGGATGCCGGGGCAGCCTCTACCTGTAGGATGCCCTGGTGTACCACAGGCTGCGGCTGCTCCAGTGCACCATGGAGAAGCCTCTATCCACAGCAGGCCTGGGTATCCCACAGGCAGTGGCTGGTCCGATTGGGACACTGGAGCAACCCCTGCCTGTGGGGGGAGTTGGGGAAGAGTGGCAGGGAAGAGAGGGTGGAGAGTTTCCAGCCCAATGGCAGGTGGGTGGGGCGGTGCTCCAGTCAGGCTACAGTGCCCCTTGACCCAACCCAATCAAATCGGTTATCCGGTTAAACAATATATTTAACTGGTTAGCCAATGAAATGGGATTTTACATCCCTATTCCTAACCTGCCTGATTCCAGATGGATTCCTAGTCACAGCTCGCTAAGCAAAGATAGGCGCTGAACTCTGATGACACAGACAGGCCTTAGGACACAACTTTTGGTCAGCATTTGCCATTGCCAGCTTAGGAAGCTCCTTACCTAGTGTGCTGGCTTTGAGGATCACATTCTTAGCTACCTAGCTCTTTCCATGCATCATATAGGAAGTGCCTATCTCTTTATGGGTCCCATTGCTCCTGTTGCCAAAAAGTTAAGTGTTGTGATGCTGCATGACAAACGTTTAATTCCCTTTTGTGTCTCCCACATAAGAGCATGTTTCTAATTCTTTAAGCAACTCTTTTGAAAATATCAATAGCTCCTTTGAACAGTGGACCCCTGTACTGGACACAGTATTCCACCAGTGCCAGAGTTAAACAGAGGTAAAACAGCCTTCAATTCTTACTTGAAATTCTCCAGGATTGCAATATTCCTTTTGCTCATTATTGCACTGTGTGCTCATGTTAGTCTACCCATGAGCGTCAAATCTTTCTGAGAACTCATCTTGACCACCATGTCTCAACTTAAACTTACAAGACTAGCAGTTGGGAAAAAACAAACATTTTATTTGTAAACCGATTCTGTAGGAGTTGCTTATTAATATATACATGGTGGGATGCACAAATACAATACTTTTAAACATTTTTTCAACGCATCATGCACCCACTGATATCAGTATCAAAACTTCAATTAACTTACAAAGACATTAAATTAGAACCTTAATGAGCAGCCTATGAAATAAGTATGTAATTTATGGACAAAGGACTATTGAACAGAATAGCTGAAATCTGCCCTAGCAGAGGCTACGCTGGCTCAGCTCGAAACAAATTAGTGTATGGTAAAGAGCATGAAGGCTTTTTAAGGTGAGCATTTTTCTGCTGGCATAGTTATGTTAATATTACATATAAACATGGATGATATGCAGCTGACAAACTCAGAATATGGAAGGTGGTAAAAAACAACAACATGGTAATATTGCAGCTCCCAGTTAAAAATAAGATAAGATGGAAGGAATGGTTACATAAAATGTTATTAAAATACATCAATAATCATTTTTTCTTTTCTTTTTCTGCTTTTCTTTTCTGTTGTAGTGTCTTCAATTCAGTCATTACATTCAATGTTTTATAAACCCAGGCAATCTGAAAAATAAGTAGATTGACATATGATGTGGGCACATTAAATTTAAAATCTGCTTTATAAAAATATAAAATTAAACTAAACACATACCACTATTATTATAGCATTCAACAGCAATGGAGCTGAAAATACTAGGGAAATAAACATCCCTCTCGAATCAAAGTATTGGTATTTAGAAAACAACCTGCAATAAATAAAACAAGTATTACTCAGCATATTTCCAAAGCTTTAATAAAAAATAATTTGTGTACATGTATGTTCTTCTCTGCATGCATATTTCAACCAATTCTACCCTTTCATTTTTGCACAATGTTTTTGTTAATATGATAGAAATGAGGATGTGTCCACTGTAATTTAAAGCCTGCAGCTGGCCTGTGCCAGTTTACTCAGGCTAAGGGGTTGTTTGATTGCCGTGTAGATGTTGGGCTCATGCTCAAGGACTATCCTGCCTTTCAGGATCCTAATGGTTAGGCTGAAGCCCAACATCTATACTGCAAGTGAGGTATGTTTCTGCAATTAAAAAAAACTGCAGCTGGCCTATGCAAGATGACTTGGGCTAGTGAGGCTCAGGCCAACTTGTGGGTATGTAACTGCATTGTAAAAATACCGAAAGTGACTAATGGATACAATGTCCTCTTTGTCAACACACAATTTTCATTCACTTTACAAAGTTATGCTTATGCATCCGAAAGAAAACATACTCTTACATTTATGCAACAGTTCTCTTTTTGTAGACACCAATTTCAATTATTCCTGATATTTGAATACATAAAGCAGTTATGTATTAAGACGAGAATTTTCAAGCATTTATGTCTCAAGTTTGGCACATAGCTCAACAATTAGATAACTAAATAAAATCATCAGATTTTCAGGGTGATGCATACCTATAGCTCTCATTTAAATCACAGGAAGGTAAGGAAGTTCAGTACCTCTGAAATATCAGGCCATAATTCAGGTGTCTAAATACAAATTAAGAGCCAGATTTGCAAAGGCATTTAGACATCTAAAGATGAAGATAAGCATCTAATGGGACTTTTAAAAACAATTAGGAGCTTAACTCCCATTGATTTCAGTGGCAATTAACTACTTACATACTTTTGAAAGTCCTACTTGCTGCGTACATGCAACTTAATGTGCTATTAATTGATGAAGTGTGAAATATGGCTTCTTAACATAAAACTTGGATGCCTAAACACTTAGGGCCAGATTTTTAAAGTTATTTAGGCACATGAAAGCCTCCTGAAATACAGACAGGTATTATCACACTTTGCTGTTCCAGCATTGTGCCTTCAGGATTATACCAATCATGAAAAATGTCAATGTTTTTACACAAATAAAAATATTGGTGAATTTTACAACCACCTCCTCTCAAAAAAACATAACCCTGATTTTACTTGTGACTTAAAAAGATTTTCACATATTTTTTGAAGTTAATTTGAACTAAAACTAAAACAGCCTTCCCGCCCCTACATTTGAACCTATTCTTAACGTACAGGCAGTCCCCGGGTTACGTACAAGATAGGGACAGTAGGTTTGTTCTTAAGTTGAATCTGTATGTAAGTCAGAACTGGTGTCCAGATTCAGCAGCTGAATCTGGATGCCAGTTCCGACTTACATACAGATTCAACTTAAGAACAAACCTACAGTCCCTATCTTGTACGTAACCCGGGGACTGCCTGTAATTTATATTATACAAAGTTATAAACAATAAAAAATGCATTCTAGCAAGCCTATTTATAAACCAGAGCAGCAGGAGTGAATCATGGAAGTGGGGACAGGCCAATTCTCTCTCAGTTTAAGGGCTTGATGGAAAGTATATGTCACAACAACCACATTCTCAGTTCTGCTCACACTAACAGTAGGAACCACTGTGACTTCCAGAGGATAAATGAGGTTGGTGGGATATGGGATTAAGATGGGAATAGAAAGGAGTTTCTGTATTATTAATCTTGATGCAATATAGAAATGTGCACAGCACTGTGCCCAACATGGCAAGGTCCTCTACCCCAAGGAATTTTAGTGTGCTGTTAAATGCAATTTGTAGTGGAAACAGAAAGGCTATGTCTCCCGGGGCCGGACCCGCAGCCGCTTCCAGATCAGCTGATCTGGAAGCGGCTGCGGGTCCGGCCCCGGGTCCTCCGCCGCTTTGCTCCCCGTCTCCCTGGTCTGCTGGCTCCCGCAGCAGACCAGGGAGATGGGGAGCAGCTTTTCTCGCCCCGGAGGAAGCGGGCGGCGGGACCAGGCGTCCCGCCACTCGAGTCCTCCGGGGCGAGAAAATCCCCGTTTGTAACATAAGTCGGATCCGCGTAACTCTGGGACTACCTGTATTCTTAAAAATGGTTAATCAAGAAAAGCATAAAAATGACCCATATGAAAACTGATGTAAATGATTTTTCCCCCCTAAGGATCAGAATTAGGTACACAAAACCCAACAATATATAATATTTATCACATATGATATTATACTTTTCATGTTCAAATATTTTGTTAACTAATGAAACCATTCATGATACCGCTTTTCATGGCTGAAGGATGTAATACTACATTTAGAAACTGCTTTTGAGGACTGTACAAAAAAAGACAGCATTACAAATAAAAACATTTAAATATGAAAATAAAAGTTATGTAGTTACCTCCAATTCATAGCAGCCAGTTCATTGATATATTCAGCACAATATACCAAAGCCACTGCATCATAGAAGGAAATGAGCATTAGGTTGAATATTTTTTAAAGACAGACTTCCGGTGATCAGTTTGAGTCTGTATACTAAGAATGTGAGTAGTCGAATAGCTGACTACCCGATAAGCCTGGGCTTATCAGGTAACTGAGTTTACCACTCTCATTCCCCCTGCTCCTTGCTCTCCCTTAAAAGACGGTTCCCCCTAGCATCATCACCATGATGCTGTCTGCCCCATCCTGTCCTCCCTTGCCCTCCTCCCCCAATGCTGCTGCATCTATTAGTGGGGACTCTCTGCAAACAGGGCCTGCTGGACCGGCCCAGTCTGGCTCAGTCTGGCTTGCACGGAGTCTGGGAGCTACCCCCACTACAGCTCTGCATTTTAAATATAGTAAGAGCCGGGCCAGCTCATTATGTGAGCACACAGTACGAATGCAATATTATAAAGTGATAAATGCACAAGTACAAGCTTGTAGAATAAAAATCAACAATCAATTCTATAGTATAAAATTCAAATTTTAGTCATTCTTACTGGTAGTGCAGTTGTATAATTTAATGCAAAAGCTAAAATTTCACCAAAATCTAAGTAATTATATTAGAATTAAGTTTGTCAATATCCACTAAATTACTCTTAAGCAAAAACACGAAGAAAACATTTTAGTTCTCAGAAAACACAACTGCCTGAAAGCCTGGATAGGTTAAAGTAAAAAACAAAAATGCCTGATATTAGGAAATATCTACTTAGCAGTCACAAAAATAATAATCTCTTTCCTATCCTCTGCCAGCTTTCCTCCCTATGTACTTCACAAATGGACCATCCTGAGGAAAGCTTGACAGTTTTGTGGTATTTTTAATATGAGGAATTTAAAGCAACATCTTAAATCCACTTTATTTATAAAATGTGTCTGAGAAATCAAACTTTCATACATGACTTTGATTTTCTACCTAAGTGCCCTGCATCCCTGGTTGTACCTGATTGAGACACTGCTCCCAGAGAGGCTGTAAACTTCATAATTATTGTAATTGCACATCTATACAAAGACATTTGGAACTTTGTATATTTTCAGATAATGGTATGGTCCTGAACTCACTTCCTGTGAAGGGATATAAAATCCTGTATTTTTCTTTTGCTTATTTATGGCTTTAAAAAAAAACCAGTTGTGACTTGTAGTGATGTGAAGAGTGCACACTTTGATCTAACACTAATATATACCCAAACTATCAACAGGCAGTACAGTTAAATCACTTATTTTTGGAGACACTGTTGCAATGAAGAGGTATCTATGTATAGGATCACCTCCTGGATCACTGTTTTGCAGAAAATGATTCCATAACAGCAATTTAGGCCTAGGTTTATCCGTTAATCTTGCTGGCTACACACATCCCCCCTATATTAGAGGCAGCAAGAGGGGGCACAGGAACCGGTGGTGGGGGGAGACAGTGCAAGGGGAGAGATGGAGTAACCTCTGTCTATGGGGAGCTCAGGTATAGGATCACCTCCTGGATCACTGTTTTGCAGAAAATGATTCCATAACAGCAATTTAGGCCTAGGTTTATCCGTTAATCTTGCTGGCTACACACATCCCCCCTATATTAGAGGCAGCAAGAGGGGGCACAGGAACCGGTGGTGGGGGGAGACAGTGCAAGGGGAGAGATGGAGTAACCTCTGTCTATGGGGAGCTCAGACCTCCAGCAGACAGAGGCTGGCGCCCGAGCCAACTCTCTCTGGAC